ACTCACCAGTCCCTTTTAATTGCAATAATGTAATACATTTATAAAGACACATCTTAGATTTCTGATGGTCCACCCCTAGAAAGGAAAAGGCTTTCTATTTCCTAAAGCATAATTTCTCAAAAAAAAAAAAAAAATCTTGGCCCAAACCAAGTTGTGCATTCTCAATGGGGTTGTCACCCACGTGTAGCAAGAAAAGCACACTCTGAGAAAGACCCAAGTTCTAATCCATGCCAAGAATTACAACCTGTGGAACACACATGTTATCAAAATTTAGATAACTCAAGAGAGAGTGAGCACATCTGGAGAGTCATCCCAAATCTACACTTTCCGGGCCTCCCTGGTGGCACAAGGGGTTAAGCACCACACTATGAAGCAATCCGCAGCCTCTGCAGCACAAGTTCGATCCCCAGCAGGGTAGGAAGAAATTCACATGGCGCAGCAGACCCCTCCTGTCTTGCCCGCTGCTCCCCTCAGCAGTGTATTTCGGTCAGTCTGCCCCCACTCTGTTCCCCACTCTGTCTCTGGTGAATCCTCTCACCCCCCGCATCTCGGGCCTGTACCCCAGCTCTTGTATGCATAAATAAATAAATCTTTTTAGGGGAGCGGGAGGGGAGGGATTGGGGTCAGAATGGGGGGGATTGCAATTGTATGGGGAATATAAAAATAAAATTTATTAATTAAAAAAAAATCTACACTTTTCTATAATGAGGACCGGAGTTTAGAGTGTTTCCCTGGCTCCAGGTTAACAATGATGTCTCAGGGGCCTTCCTGGTGGCCTTCCAGGGTTAAGTCTCAGCTCCATCCTGAGTAGCCTGAGTTTGATTTGCAGCCAGGGAGGTGACCCACATGGCACCGCAGACCTCTCCTGACTTGCCTGCTGCTCCCCTCAGCAGTCTATTTTAGTGGATGTGCCTGTTCTTCTCCCCACTCTGTTTCTGCTGAATCCTCTCATCCCCACCTCTGGCCTACACCCCAGTTCTTGTATGCATAAATAAATAGTTACCACAATGATGTCTAGTGGCTTCACTTCTAGGAGAAACAGCCCAAAACTTGGGTGGAAAAATGTTGATTAAAGCATTATTTATCACTGAACAAAACCTAAATCTTTAACAAGTGAAGGGTAAATACGCTGCACATACGAGAACTGTAAGGAACCATTTTTTAAAATTTCCGTTTACTTAATGACCCTGGAAAAAAGACTAATGTTAATAGTAAAAATGCTAAGAATCACACCAGATCCTGTGTTGAGCACTTTATATTCCCTCATTTAGTCCTCACAATTAACCATATGAAAGGCATTATTAATATTTCCTCATTACAGATGAAGAAAGGATGACTTAGTGAGGTTAAGTAATTTGACAGTTACATACATGGTGGATGTCTAATTTCAACTGTAGTAATAAGAAGCCACGACACCTTATTGCAGCATACAACTTATAGATATGACATGATACCGATTTGTTATTACACACATACACACACATGCTATTTAAAATATTTCAAAACAGGTACAACAAAGCACAGAAGCGTCAGAATGGAGACTACAACCCATCAGAATGGAAACCAGATATAAACAACCAAAACGGCCATCTGATTTCAGTTAGCTCTTGCTGTGTAACAAACTACCCTCAAATTTAGTGGCTTAAAACAACCGTTTTATTGGTTCATGATTCTGAGGCTTGGTAATATGGGCTGGGATCAGCTAAGAGGTTCTTCACCTGGTCTTACCAAGGGTCACTGGTGTTGCTGTGAACACTTGTCAGCTGGATGGGACTGGATAGTCCAAGATGTTCTCACCATCCTGGCTGTCATCTGCACTCCCTCCTCAGGAGGACTTTCATTCTCCAGGAGGTCAGCTCTAGCCTCTTCACATGGGGACAGCAGAGCTCAAAGAGGGCATTAGCAGAAGCCTGGGGTCCCATGAGGTCTTGCCCAGAAACTGTACACCACCACTTCCACTATATTCTATTGATCAAGGCAAGTCACAAAGCCGATCCAGGTTCAGGATGTGAGGAACAGATTCTACCTTTTGAAGGTAGGAGCTGTAAAGACTTTGCGGCCATTTTAATCCACTACACTGTATATACCAACAGCCCCACATAGATGGGGACATTTAAAAAGACTGGAAGGAAACCAACCCATTAACAGAGATTATTTTTATTATCTTTTCATATTTCTGCATTTCTCCAAATCCCTAAGCAGTATGCATTCCTTTTATAAAGAGAAAAAAACCAACTATAACCACTTCCATAAGTTTAACAGGGCAGGTAGGACAGCTTCACTCTGGCACAGAATTCCTTCTTTTCTAACTCTACCACTTCCTAGCTTTGACAACTTTGTGACCCCGCCGAGACTCCTTTTCTGGTTGTAAAGACGAAGCTAACATTAACTCTTTCACAAGACAGTTTCAAGGATCAAATGAGACAATGAATGTAAAACACCCACAGTCTATCCCCACCACCTCCTCACCGCCCCCCCCCCCCAGGCCAGACCTCCTCAGTCACAGGAATTCTCTTTCTCACAATTTACTAAATTCTGGTTTAGGACATGTCATATACGTCTCTAAAAGTAAGCTGTATGCCCTGAGGGCTGGATTCAAACTTTAGTCATTCTAAAGGATTATAAATAACTTCCAAGTATCAAGGACAAGATTCAGTAAGTACTTGTTGATTTACTGACTCATCAGCTACATAAAAGCTTTTTTCAAAAGCTAGGCAATTAATCCCCTTTTTATGCAGTTTTATATGTAATTCCAGTATCAAGAGGGGGGAATGTCGTCATCCACTGCATCCATTTATTCACCACAGTGGAAAAGCCTAATGTGATTCACCGCCACGAAGAAAACTCAAATTTCTTAGACTTAACCATTCACACACGCACAAACACCACTCCTATCCGGCTTGTTTTACAATTGGCTCTCATGATGGCCAAATAAAGCATCAGAGCACAAAACTTAAGCTGGAAAAAGACAAGAGTGAAAATGTATGCTGCATCTGTGTTGAAACAATCATTATTCTAAAAAGCTCAACCCAAATTGAAAATGGCCTTGTTTTTTTTTAAAAAGATTTATTTATTTACGCATACAAGAACTGGGGTATAGGCGAGAGGTGTGGGGGGTGAGAGGATCCACCAGAGACAGAGTGGGGAGCAGAACAGGCAGATTGACTGAAATACACTGCTGAGGGGAACAGTGGGTGAGACAGGAGAGGTCTGCTGTGCCATGTGGGTAGCTCCCTGACTGGGGATCAAACCCTTGCTGCAGTGGCTGCGGACAGCTTCCTAGGTTGCATCTTAACCCCTTGCGCCACCAGGGAGGCCCAGAAAATGGCCCTGTTTTTGCTTCAACAGGACGGCTGGCATGGGTGCTTAGTCATGAAGGTCTAATTTACGGTTATCAGTAAATTGGTAACTAGGTTTCCTAAGTCCTTGGTCTGCTAGACAGAAGCAGGGGACATAAGGGCGTGTCAATGGCCATTTATGCGCCGTAGTGTCAGGAGAGACACTACCTGCAGCAGCTTAGGCAGATGAGAAGCAATGCTTCTTAAAAAGATCTTTGAGAAAGGCATTTCATAAACTCCCACAGTGACTCACCCTGCATGACATCCCCAGAGGGTGGGAAGGGCCAGAGAACCTACTTTTGCTTTCTTTTGCACACACGGGATATTGCTAAGGCAGAGAATCCCTCCTTGGATGGCAGAGCATCATCTGTGGATGGTCCAGCCTCTCCCTTTACAGCCTGAGAGGGCCACAGGCCCCTTTTATGCTTTTTCTTTTTTTTTTTTAAGGGGAAATATTCTTTTTTTTTTAATTAATTAATTTATTTATTTATACAAGCACTGGGTACAGTCAGAAGCGCGGGAGGGTAAGAGAATTCACTAGAGCCAGAGCGGGGAGCAGAGCAGGCAGAAGGACCGAAGTACACTGCTGAGGGGAGCAGTGGGCGGGTACAGTCAAAAGCGTGGGAGGGTGAGAGAATTCACAAGAGCTAGAGCGGAGAGCAGAACAGGCAGAAGGAGTACACTGCTGAGGGGAGCAGCGGGAGGCAGGAGAGGTCTGCACACCATGTGGGACCCTTACCCGGCGGCCGGGGATCAAACCGGCACTGCAGAGGCTGCGGGCAGCTTCACAACCCAGCGCTCAACCGCTGCGCCACCGGGGAGGCCCCCCTTTTTTGCTTTTTCTAAGACTCATCGGGGAACCCAGGCAGGGCAGTTGAAGCAGACCCATCGGGAGGGTTCCTGGGGGAAGAAGAGGTATCAAAAAACCCTGTATGTCCCAAAGGCTTGAATACTTGGTCCAGGGGGCAGTGTCCAGGGTACAATTCTGGAACAACAATCCCTAATCTAACTGCTGGGAAACATTCTGCTCTCAGAACATTTAAAAATTACTGAAGAATCCAAAAAGTTTACCTTTGAAAACTCTAAAAAACCTAAGAATGCACAAGAACACTGCTTGAGTGACCAGAACAATGATGGCATCACACATACTATAAACTTCTAATTATTTCAAAATTAAAAGTTTGGAAAAAGGGGGGGGGGAAGCAGCACAGAAAATGGAGCAAGCATAGACCACAACTTTCAACAGCAATGAAGCCAGAGGGTAGATATTCTCAACACACTGAAAGGACATAACTTACACCCTCCAATTCTATAAGAAGTGAAATAAATCCTTCAAGAATTTTAAGTAACCTACATTGAGATTTCACATACACAAAGGTTTTTTTTTTTTCCTCCAGAGCCTGAGGAATTCATCCAAACTGCTTCACGTTTTAAAAATGTTTTAAGAATCATGTTTTTAAAAATACATTTATGAAGTGTTTTTGACAGTAAAGAAAGAGTATATAAGGAATGTAATCATAGTATCTTACTTTGAATGTTGAGTGTATTTATTTACTACAGATATACCTTGCTGTATAAAGCAACATGTGCAAAAACGAATGACTATAATAAAAGTTCATTGTTAAAATGAGAATTTTAAAATTAATTTAGAGACCTATTTTATTTATTCATTTATTTTTTCATTATTTCACTTTATCCACAGTATTAGAAAAGCAAGGCATTGTAAAAGTTTAGGTGAAATGTGTGGCTGGCAGCCCAATCAAGTCCCTTATATTCCATATTTTCCCTTCAGTTCTTCTACTTTGGCGATGTAAGCTTTCATGGCATTGTCCTTGGAAGTCCCTTTCAGTCCATTCCAGGCATCCCACTTGGCTTTGCCTTTGAAGTCCATCATTCCAGGCCGTTCTGTATTTACATCGCCCACAGTTGCTTGTTTGTAGTGGCTATAGATAAATAGCATCTCTTCATCTGTTGGCTTGGTCTTGAGGTTCTTAACTTCCTCAGCAGCTTTCTCAAACTCAGCCTGAGACATGCCGGCTGGATTGCAACAATTCCAGGAGACCTGCGCGGGGGCCTATTTTAGACAAGCCAAACAAAATTTTACAAATGGAGATCCTCACGAAAGAAAATGATGAAGTGTGTACCTCAGACAGAAGGAAAGTGTTTCCACAAGAAAGGTCAGAGGATTAGACAGGATTAGAATTTAAAGGGGGGGCGGGGAGAGGAAGGATTAGGGTCCAAATAAGGGGGGGTGCAATTGTGTGGGGAATATAACCAAAATGAAAATGCATACATTGTGCAAAAATGAAGAATGATGTAAGAATTATATAAAATAAAATATTAAAAATAAAATAAAATTGTAAGATAATGAAAAAAAAGAATTTAAGGAGGTAGAACGAAAATATGTTAACACCACAAATTACAATGGGGGTGGGAGTATTGAGGAACCCAAATATCGATAGCTTACCTTAGGAAATTCTAGCAAACACAAGACCCTGTAAGCTCACGTTCCTTTAGTCATCAGAGGGATGATTTCATTACACATCTGCTCGCCTCTGGAAAAATCCAGCAACAGTGAGAAAGGAAAATGACGTCTTACTATTATTAGGAAAGTAGTTTTGACACAGACTCCCTGAAAGAATCATTGAGAGTCCCAGAGCCCCAGGGACCACACTTTGAAAACCGCTGCTCTCTAACCCTTCTTCCCCTTCACCCAAGACCAGGTCTTCTTAGTGTCCTGTCCAGCTGGGCCGAGAAAGAAACGGCCGCTTCTCTGGCCAGGGTCCCCGGGGGAACTCTTTTCCCTTTTTGGCAAAAGCAGGGAGTCCACGGAGGGGCCTCGGGACGGTGCGGCCGGGCGCCGCTAGGGGGCGCCGCTAGAGAACGCAGCCGCGAGCCGCGCCGCCCACGCCCCGGAGAGCCGGGTTCTCACGGACTCCCGGAAGAGGGGGCGGCACCCGGAAGAGGGCGAGGTCGCGCCTGATTGGACGAAGTGCTGCGCTTCACGGACGGGGCGGGGCTTCTTCACGCTAAAAGCAGAGCCCGGCAGTCCCCGGCTCACGCAGCCCTAGTGGCCAGGTCCGCGGAAGCTTTCCAGTTGCACGCCGAGGTTCGCTAGGTCATGGTGCCAGCCTGACTGAGAAGAGGACGCTCCCGGGAGACGAATGAGGAACCACCTCCTCCTACTGTTCAAGTACAGGGGCCTGGTCCGCAAAGGGAAGAGAAGCAAAAGACGAAAATGGCTAAATTCGTGATCCGCCCGGCCACCGCTGGCGACTGCAGTGACATCCTGCGCCTGATCAAGGTAGCCGGAGGCCCGGGCTCCTCCTGGAGCAGGGGGGGGGGGGTGCGACTCCGTCTCCCAGAGCGTTCGGGTCTCGGGCAAGTTCGTCTTTCTCCGCCCGCCGCCCCCAGCCTTGGCCGGGCCGGGACCCCGCGAAGGCATCGCCACCCCGCCCCGCCTACCCCGTTCCCTCTGGGTGGGCCTGGGCCTCACTCCGTTTTCTGCTTCTCTCCCTCTCTTCTATGTGCGTCGCCCCAGGAACTGGCTAAATATGAATACATGGAAGAGCGAGTACTATTAACAGAAAAAGGTAACGCAACGGTGGGGGGCTGGGGGATGAGCGGCCGGTGCCTGTCGCCTTCACCCAGGCCAACACTGTCCCTGCTGCCCCTTCTTGCAGATCTGCTAGAGGATGGTTTTGGAGAGCACCCCTGCTACCACTGCCTGGTTGCAGAAGTACCCAAGGAACATCGGGCTGCGGAAGGTAACCGCCCTCTTCCAGAAGCCAGAGACCGAGTGTTGTGCAAAACGTAGTGGCCGCTGTGTAGAACACTGACACACAGGCCCAAGTTACTTACTGAGCAGATGGCCAGAAATAAGAGCCAGCCAGTGTCCAAACAACTGAGGGGGAAAAATAGATATGCTGCAGTTACTAGGGCAGGTTAAAAGAGCCCTTTAAATAAGGGGCAGAGTGCTGTGGAGACCTGGAAGAATGTAAGCTGTTTAAGTGGCAGAGTGCTATGGAGACCCGGAAGCTAGGTATAATGTCATTGATTGTAAATCAGTTTCATAAATGGTTTTTGTTTGACACTAACGTAACCTTTTTTGTAATTGTGTTAAATCACATTTTTTTCTTTAATTTGTCCCAATCTTCAGGTTACAGTCTCTAGCTTCGCCATGTACATGGCCCTTCCGTGTACATGGATGGGCGGGGAGGTAACTAAAAGATCCTTTACACAATAAAGTAGATGATCATGATAAATGAGGTAAGGTCCTATTATCACACACTTAAAACACGGTAGATCAGAAACTCCATTGTACTCGCTTCCTGTCTGTTTGCAAAGGAATATAAAATGGCTCAAAAGTTTAATTTGAAACCTCTGCCTCCATTTGGAATTAATAGACTCCCCATAGGTGGGAGTCAGATGCTCTTTTTCTCCCTTTTTTGCTGGTCCCCGTTGAATGGTCAGAAGACAGAGTAAAAAGGGGAAGTTTGGGTGGTTGTTTAAGGTTTTTTCTAAAGTCTGTTCCCCAAGATGGAGGCAACGAGTGGAAAACATAAGGGATGAAAGGCTTTTTAGAGGCATGTGGTGGTTACATAATATCTTTGGGTACCTCTGCTTCTTCTGACTTAAAAACTGGGGAGAGTAAATTGAGAATGTATGAATTGGAAGGCAAGTTCTGAAATTAAACGCTGCATTTTTGGCCTCATATTCTGACCTTAAGGAAGCAAAGTTTCTAAACTAAAAATATTTACTATTCTGAACTGCCGTGTCAACCTTATTCCCAAATCACCATACCAGCCTATGAATAGGATGTAAATAATGTGTGTGTTTAGTTTAAGACCATACCCGTTTTCGCTGTGGCAAGTAATGAAAGCATCCTCACCTCCCAAGTGTGAGATCCAGCAGATTGCAGAGTGGCCAGTCCACAGTTTTAGCCTGGCTTCAGCTATCTCTAATGTGTGCTTTTTTGCAAATACATGTTCTGAGAACAGCAAGGTCGTGCAACAGCGGCCTAGACTGCACTGGCATAAAAGTGGAGAGACAGTCGTTCACTGGCTACTTATTTCTTTAACACATGCATGTACATTTTAAAAAACCTAAGATAGTCTTCTGATTTTGCAGCTACAACTTTTATGGACTGGTTTTCATCCATAGCTCATGTGATACTCTTTTTACAGGACACAGCATTGTTGGTTTTGCCATGTACTACTTTACCTACGATCCGTGGATTGGCAAACTGTTGTATCTTGAGGACTTCTTCGTGATGAGTGATTATAGAGGTTTGTTGAGTTCAGGGGGGACAGCCCTAAATCAGCACTTCAATTCCTTCAAATGACTTTTTAATTGGTGCTTTTCTTTCTTTTAGGCTTTGGCATAGGATCAGAAATTCTGAAGAACCTAAGCCAGGTATGTCTTAGATTTTGACTTCTGAACTTGCAAAAGTCACTGGATTATTTTAATGAGTGCTTCAAGTTTGGGTCCTGGAAAGCAGGTGAAATGTTCACTGCTTACTCTCCCTTATAACAGGTGGCCATGAAGTGTCGATGCAGCAGAATGCACTTCTTGGTAGCAGAATGGAATGAATCATCAATCAACTTCTATAAAAGAAGAGGGGCTTCTGATCTGTCCAGTGAGGAGGGATGGAGACTCTTCAAGATCGACAAGGAATACTTGATAAAAATGGCAGCAGAGGAGTGAGGAGTGCTGGTGTAGACATGACAGCTTCCATTCTATTTTAAAATAAATTCTCAACTTATCTTGCTTTCTATCCTATTTGTAGTGAAATAATAGAATGAGCACCCATTCCAAAGCTTTATTACCAGTGGCGTTGTTGCATGTTTGAAATGGGATCTGTTAAAGGTAGTAATCTCGAGTGTGGTTTGGAGTCAGATTTCTCCTTGAACATCTTTTGATAAACAAGGTGGTGTGATCTCAATCTATATGAAAAAAACTTCATTCTTGTGAGTCATTTAAATGTGTACAATGTACACACTGGTACTTAGAGTTGCTGTTTTGATTCTTTTTTAATAAACTACCCTTTGATTTAATTGTTTCGTGTAAGCATTTTTATTGATCTTTTATTCCTTAGGCATTTTTCCTGCTGTTTGTGAATTAAAATGGCCAAGAAACATAACTTGATAACTTGACAACTGTTCAAAAACAGTTGTTAACCCAATATAAAGTATTTTTAGGGTTGTTAGCTGTGCTGTGCTAAGGCCCATTCTCAAAATCTGGAAAGAAGTCTGTTGAATTCCAAGGTGTTATACATAGCAACATGTTAAATAGGACATTACACTGATGACACTACATTTAATCTTACAATTTTCAACTCATTAAACCAAAAACCAGAATGAGTAAACTTTGTTATCAAGTAAAAGGTGGGATTCTAAAACTTTGGAAATTGAACAGGGGGGAGACAACAATAACCTCCTCTCACACAAAATAGTATTCAGAAAGGAAAGTGACACTTTCCTAATTTGGCAGGAGCAAAAGCCCCACCTTTTTTAGAGAAAATAAGCAAACAAAAGAGGCTGGAGTTGGACATAGGTACCAAGGGAAGCTAACATCCTGCTAATTAGCATCCAAGTTAGCATTTAGGAGTATGTGATTATTATGTTAACATAATGAACTTCTATAAAGAAACAATATGAGTGCTTAAAAATATGGGGTGGGGAAAGCCAGAAGTAAACAAAAGGACAGGGTACCACCACAGGGCTTTGGTGGAGGGTGAGTGAAGCATGTGCACATCAGGAGGTATGACGTTTGCCTCTAAAATTAGTTATGTCAGTGATTGGCAAATCAATAAGTAATTTGAGTAAAAAGGGAAGTAAACAAAAGGTTTCTTTTGCACTAAAAATAAAGCTCAGGAGAGGTATAAGGAAGCAATAGTTTTAGCTGTGAGAACTCCTTTCATCACTCACTACATTGACCTAAATTCCTAAGCCCACTAATTCCCTTGACAATGAAAACAGTAGTTGACAATAACCACTGTAGTGATCTCCAAGAATAATGTTTTCCAAAAGTCATCGGATACCAACTATACTCCATATCTTCTGTGTTCTCCAGGAAATAAGTCCTGGGCTCCTTAGTCAAGGGGATTTTCCCCTACAGCCTTTTGTTTCAGTGTCTGTTAAGGTGTCCTACATGAGTAGAAAGCCATATAAATAATTGTGATTCGGTATTGTATTTAGTACAAGTGAGCATTGGATTTACTGGTGGTGCAGAGAGCATGCCATGAAAACAGGCTTACAGCATCCTGCTCAGATGGCAAGTGATTTCTACAAAAGAAAGGCTGGCAAACATAAAAAGGGTTAACTAAACACAAGGAGTCTTGTGGGGAAAGAAGACATTTTGAAAACTGTGTTTTGGAAAGAGCCTCTTTGAGGAAAACAATGACATGCTGACTGTGGTTAAATATGTGAATAATTAGAAGAACCAAGCAAGTTACACTATAACGCTTTGTTTTCTCATCCTCCTTAGAGCTTACTTAGCCCTAAAGGCCCATTGTTGTCACCACACAAGTTTTTATGAAGTGTTTGAATCCACTTAAAGAAGTCCCTTAAGTTTAAAATTTAGAAGCTGAAACACCACAGCAGCAGCCCACTGAATGTTCAACTCAATTACAAAGACACCACTTTAAAAAGTGAACTGTAGAAGAAATTTGCAAAAGATGAAATCAACGAGCAAGTAAGAAAACATGTTATAGGGAAATTCTGTGGAAGGAAATAATAAACGATGATAAATCTGGAAAAGAAAAAAATCCATGTAATCAGCACCTCTGTGAAGATAAGTTTAAAACGACTCTTATTAAAATATTATACCTGACATAACCACTTGGGAAGAACAGTATTTCCGGCCTAAGGATCTGCCAATTATCACATAAGCATATTTTGGGGATTTCCCTGTATGGTTTAAAAATAACATGTTTGCTAAGATTATGTCCCTTGAAAGACTTATAAAATCAGTATTTTTTATACTATTAAAATAGGAAGTAGCTGGGTTTGTCCACATGCAGGTTTATAACATCCTGCTACATATCTGATTACTGGCCCATGGTAGTGCTGAGATCCATGAGTGCCCAAAGCAGAGCCCCAGATCATTCTACAGGGCAGGTTTTCCAGGGCAAGAAAGTAGAGGATTTTTGCAGAAATGTAGAAGCAACAATCTAGAAGGCACCCAATGATTTATTAATGCTCTGGAACCATCTACCCCATTCTGTGAGTCACCTCTCCACTGGGTCCCTCAATAGGAGGGCCTCAATAGGACAGCACCTATCATGGTCTGGTGACAGTTCCTTGTGGCAAGTGGCTGTTCGCCAGCAACTGCCAGACCTGGCCACGCTCTGGGAATCCCATCTCCCTGCCTGGCAGGCTTAGCTTCCGCTGAAAGTCCACAGGTGGCCATGTCTGCTCCTAGAATTCTGTTTGCTTCACTGGCCTCATCTTTGTTTTCTTGCTTCATCCTATCTTCCTGAGAATTATCACCTTAAGGTGAACCTGTGCTTGAGTCTCATCCCTCCTCTTTGTGTTGCCAATCTGGGCTTCAAGCCAGTCAGCTGTTACCCACAGCTCTGACAGACAGACCCACACCCTTTTTTGAGCCCCCCCCTCCCCGCACCCAGCAAGGCCCTCCCACTGTAAGGTTTAGTAAGTAGTTACCTGGAACTAGGCATTACCTGCAAGGCTTTGCACACGTTATTATCTAATTCTCACAAACACCCTATGAGGTAGGACCATTATTAGTTTCTCTTTATAACGAGGAATGAAAACTCAGAGAGGTTAAGTGGCCAAGGCTGCACAAGTAGCTCTGGGCATCGAACTCCCATCAAATTTCTCAAACCCCAGGGGGTGGGGGGGCTCACTACCATATTTTCTATAGGAATGAATGAATTTGGCATTTCTTTTTGATTATACTCCAAAGAAGTATTTTCTGGCTCATCAAAATCCATAGTTCCCAGTACAGGCTACACATTAGAATCACCTAGAAAGCTTTTAAGAAATACTAATGCCGAGCCCTGACTCCTAATCTAATTATATTTTAATGTGCATTCCAAAATGAAGCCAGGGTTGAGAGCCACTGATCTACATAAACACCTTGTAACTGAATCCCAGTTGCAACTGTGAGTACAACCATTTCTGTGTGTTTGTGTTGCTCACCTTGGCACCATGTCGTCAACAGTGAGCTCTTGCCAAGCAAAGCCATATCACACTGCATGAAGGAGAACCTTCTGGAGAGTTCGCAGAGAAAAATGGGAGAGAACTGTGTCATCCCACTGTCCTGCAGTGCTGAAAACAAAACCAAACAGGAGTTAGTACAGAGTTTCTTTGCAAACAGCAGCTTCATTTCAGCAAGACATCTCCCCTCACATTAAATCAGTGTTGTTGATTTAAATTTGTTAAGTTTGGTAGTTTTGTTTGTATTTGATTTGCAAATATATATTGGTTTCACAGTTGTATAGCAGCTGTGAAAGTAAAATGCTCACATCTGGTTATATGTCTATAATGAGTAATGTAAGAATAATTTCAATCCCCGCTTAGTACCTGTGAGAATTGATTCCTTTAAGAGGGATCCATACTTGCTTCAGAATCAAATCCTACCTGGCTTCTCCCTGACTGCATGATCACAGGCACTGAGCATCATCTCTCAGCCTTATTTTATTTGTAAAAAAAAAGGAGGGGGGCAAGGGGAAAGACTGCCAATTGAAAGACATTTTTAAAATACTGAAATAAGGGGCCTCCCTGGTGGCACAAGGGGTTAAGATGCAACCTATGAAGCTCTCCACAACCACTGCAGCATGAGTTCGATCCCCGGGCAAGGAGCTACCCATATGGTGCAGCAGACCTCTCCTGACTCGCCTGCTGCTCCCCTCAGCAGTGTATTTCAGTCAGTCTGCCTGTTCTGTTCCCCGCTCTGTCTCTGGTGAATCCTCTCATCCCACATACCTCTGGCCTGTACCCCAGTTCCTGTATGCATTAATAAATAAATCTTTAAAAAATAAAAATATTGAAATGAGGAAAATGTAGATGGAAATGTAGATGGAAACTTATGTAGGGCCTCCCCTGGTGGTGCAGGCGGTTGAGCGCAGCACTGTGAAGCTGCCCGCAGCCTCTGCAGTGGCGGCTCGATCCCAGCCGGCTGGTGAGGGTCCCACATGGCATGGCAGACCCCCTCCTGTCGCGCCCGCTGCTCCCCTCAGGAGTGCTTTCGGTCTGTCTGCCTGTTCTGTTCCCCGCTCTGTCTCCGGTGAATCCTCTCACCCTCCCGCGCATCTGGCCTGTACCCCGGTTCTTGTACAAATAAATAAATCTTAAAAAAAAAAAAAAGGAAATATGTAGTAAGCATCAATAAATATTGGTTTAGGTAAAAAAAATAAATAAATAGTAAATAAAAGAGATCCAAGCTACGCAACTTTGAGAAATGCTGCATGATCCTAATGCAGCACTGCCTGCATTTGGTTGATTTAAAAAAAGGGCCAAAGGTATCAGCACTAAAACTTCATGGGCTGGGCTCCAATGTGATCGGGTTTAAGTCTGATTCTTTTCAGCAAGAATATTTCATTGATGATTTTTTTCCATCAAGAGGCATAGCACGTCTGCTCATCTCTTTCGTGACATTAGCAGCCGTGAGTATCACCACCTAGGTCCACAGATTCATTAGGAGTTACAAAATGGTGATGTTCTATTTCTATCATTCCTTCTTCATTTATCAGCTAAAACACTTGTATAAAGAGAACTTTCCTGGGGCCTCCCCGGTGGCACAAGGGGTTAAGTCTCAGCACTATGAAGCTATCCACAGCCATTGCAGCACGAGCTCCATCCCCAGCCTGGGAGTTGACCCACAGGCCACAGCAGACCTCTCCTGTCTCCCCGCTGCTGCCCTCAGCAGTGTATTTCAATCAGTCTGCCTATTCTGCTCCCCACTCTGTCTCTGGTGAGTCCTCTCACCCCCCGCAAGAGTACCCCAGCTCTTGTATGCATAAATAAATCTTTTTAAAAAATAAAAATAATATAGAGAACTTTTCCCCACTCATGTTTCATTACCCTGAAGT